CTAAGTGTTTCGGGTCCCCGTCACATGTCGGTCTGGGGACCGGCGAAGGGGGCCTAAGAAGACGACGTGCAAGCTGCTCTGCACGCGTTTTACGCAAGAGCACCCGGGTGATGGAAGGCCGGCTATCCTCGACCCACGCTGGTTCTGGCCCAGCGGGGTATTCCGTAGGATAGACCATTCTAACCGGCGCCATCTAGGCCGAGGGGGACGGTGATGGGAGAGATGTGCTCCGCACTAAGCGCTTCACTTTCCCCCCTTTGCCTTGTCATGAGTTCTGTCTCATGCGAGGTTTGGACGTTGGTTGTTGAGCGACAGGAGGTTTTAGTCAGTTCAACTCTGACATACCCCGCCCAGTATCCCCAGAAAAGGGCGGAAGTCCGGCGATTTCCTCCTGACAAAAAAAAAAAAAAAAAAGGGGTTATTAAGCGTAGGTGAGATCACGGGGCTCAACCTGGGAGGACTTGCTACACCAGCCCTAGCAAGAGCAGTGCTTCGCTGATTTTTACAACGCGATTGGAATCGCGACCCACTGAGAAGATCCAACCAGAAACTCAGTGGGTGGAGAACTCAGTATAATGTAAGACGTCAGTTCGTCACCCAAGAAATAATACCGTCATCATGTTTATTATTACCACGAAGCAGTCATGTTTATCGACACGAAGATCTCACGGCCCACCTTGTGTTATCCAGTTACTGGAGCTCATAGATATTAACAACGTGAATGAGATCACCCATCCATCCATCCATCCACCCCCACCCATCTTGAGACATGAGTTCTAAGTTCCAGTTCTGTAGTACAGCGGTTGCCCCAACTTTCAGCTACCTGTGTCGGCTTACACGACGTCCTACAACCGGTATTAAAATGCTATTGACACTTACACATCTTGTCTCAGACGGAATAGTGCAATTTACTTAAAAAAACTGTATTAGCAATTGTGTTGGTAGTTGGTATCATCCGGCTTTTGCCACGTCCCATCTGGCTTTGGAATGAGCTCCCCTCCACGGTGTTTCCCGAGTGCTATGACATATCCTTTTTCAAACGAGGCTTGTGGAGAGTACTTATCGGTAGGCAGCGGCTTGGCTCTGCCCCTGGCATTGCTGAAGTCCATGGGCGACGGTAAGCACTCATCATCAGGTGGGCCGTATGCTCGTAATTTTGATGTTTTGACGAAGCTCATTAAAATTTGAATTGCGTAGGAATAGTTAGTATCCTATTCTATGTTTTTTTTAAATTGAGAAATTTACGAGGCGGTTCAAAATTAACCAATTATTTTAATCAAATTTAATAAAAGTCACGACTCCAACTACCAATACTCTTTATCGTATGTTCGTACAAATTCCTATGAGAATACGTTGAAGTTTTAAAATCCAGAACCTTTGTTTGGTAACCCGATACGGAGGAGGTGACGTTTGGCAATACTCCTCTTTTTAAACTGAATAACTTCTTAACTATCGAGAATAATTAGCCTACAATAAAAGCTTAATTTTGCAGAGCAAAAGCGAATTGAGGACTGTATGACTTAATTATTTTCATTTTATTTCAAGTATTATAACAGAATGTATAAACAATAATTTGCCATTGTCATTAGCCGAGATTATAAATACGTTTCGTGGTGGGATATTATTTAAATTACTGTAATTTACAAAATTTGTCACGTCATGATTATACGACAATGAAGTACATGGTATATTCGTCTGAATAATAGAATGAACAGGATGGCTAATACTTAATAATTGTACTTCGCACGTTCATATTATGTTCTTGGGGGAAAATATTTATTTTTAAATTAGACCTAATTTATAAAAAAATGTTATATAAGAGTAGTCGTCTGTCTGGCTTTACTCGATAGTGCAATGATATCCTGTATTTATATTCTCGCGTATTAGATAATACGGTAATTATAATAATAATAATAAGGTAATAATACTAATAATAATAATAATAAGGCCTATGTCCAGCAGTGGGCAGATAAAGGCTGATGATGTTGATGATGTATTAGATAATCGATGACATCAGCAACTCCAATGCAAATCCAATCAATGAAAATTTCAAGGCTAATTAACGATTATTATTATTAATTTATTATTATTATAAAGTTATTAATTTAAGGGTTATTTTTCGATGGAGACTAATATTGGAAGCCGCCGCATTTTTCACTTTAATATTAACTTCATATTTTTTTAGTACAAGGGAATTAATGTATTCAACTGAATATACCACGAAATAAGCATACAATTAAACTTTAAAACTTATTTTCAGGATTTGCAAAACATTTTAGACGAAGCAAAGCATGGAGTCATTTACATTAACTTTGGATCGAACGTGCGTAGTGCTGAACTACCGTTAGAAAAAAGAAACGTATTTTTGAATGTTATTAAGAAACTGAAGCAGACTGTGGTGTGGAAATGGGAAGATGACAGTCTAGATAAAATGGATAATTTAGTCGTGAGAAAATGGCTACCACAAAAAGAAATATTATGTAAGTTGTTTTAATATATTAAGTTAAATTATTCGTGTAAAGAAACATATTTAATTAATGTTTTAAAAATGCCAAATTAACTTTTATTATCACCAGTTTACAATAGCGTGGTAATTTAAAAATATAATAATATTGAATAATTGTTTTAGTTTTATGATATGTATAATGCCAGGCACAGGAGGAGGATTTTTTTATTAGCTTGAATTGGCGAAAAACTCAGTGGCCTAATGTTAAGCGTTACGATAGTTACGACCCAAAAAAATAACTAGGTGAATTACGCCTCATAACTTAAGTCGCGAGGTCGATGTAGATTAACGACCATTAACGGTTAAGATTAACGCTCATCACTAATACCATTCGCATAAATTTTACACCATTCTATACTTTAATTTCAGCCCACCCAAATATCAAAGTATTCATATCGCATGGTGGATTGATCGGAACACAAGAAGCCATATTCCACGGCGTGCCTATAATTGGAGTTCCTATTTACGCTGACCAATACAATAATTTATTACAAGCAGAAGAATGTGGATTTGGAAAAATACTCGAATTCAAAGATATCACAGAACAAAACTTAGATAATTACTTGAGAGAGCTTCTTACAAACAATACTTACAGAGACAAAGCTAAAGAGATGTCCATTAGGTTTAAAGATAGACCGACGACTGCTTTAGATACAGCTATGTATTGGATTGAATATATTTTAAGGCATAATGGGGCTAGTTTTATGAAAAATCCAGCCAGAAAATTGCACTGGATCCAATACGCAATGCTAGATGTTTATGGTTTTATATTAGCAGTAGTGTTAACAATTTTTTACACTATTTACAAACTAAGTAGTTTCATATTGCATAAATTGAAAGCTCCTGAGAGAGTTATTAGAAAAAAGTTTGATTGATATTTGTTATACTGTTGTTATTTAACATTAGTCTTTATTATAGCATAGAAAAGTGATAAATATAATTAAGATATCGTAGAAAACTGTAAGAAACTCAATGATATTGACTTGAAGATCTTACGTCAAATATTTAGGTAGTTTTAATGATGCGAAATATTTGTTTTTTTCTGATCTCTCTGTTTAACTGTTTGTTTTTTTTTTGTTTTGTAATTTTATAATCATGGATAGTTAAATACTTTTACAAAACTGTTAATGTTTCAAATCTTTCAATTAGACTTAATATGTGATGGTAGTTATATTATATTATGTATTTTATCCCACACAATATGGGCTTTAATGATAATTCAAGGCGTATTATTATTGTGCACCAATAAAACCAGTTAATAAATGGTTTATCGGAGATTTTTTCTTCCTATCTAATTGTTAGTAGCCTAAGTGGCTATTCCATCTATTCAAGGACCAGTAGGTAAGCTCACGAGATCAAATAGAAAGAATTCCTAACACTGACCATAGCAAGAGCAATTTTTCTCTGCATTTACTACCGGATCTAAATAGGTTAAATTGGAGAATGCTGCTATCCATCGGTTACGCAAATTTCTATAAAATGCTTATATGAGCGAATCTCCTGTTTAGGCGTTCTTATTAGAAATGTAGGACAGCCATTGGATAGCAATGGACAATTTAGGCTCAAATCTAAAAGTAGGCCATGAGCTCGTTCGCGGTCTCACTATCAGAATTTACAATTAATCGAATAAAGAATGTGCCAACTAATAAAGAAAACAACAACAACAAAAACCTGCAATTATTCATTGTTTATTTGACACATTTTCATTTTTTCATTGCATAGTTTATTTGATACATTACATTTATATCTCGATTCTAAATTTAGCGAAACCCTCTATTCGTCTGGGCAAGGGTTTTGTTACTCGAAAGACCGCTTTTGTCCCAACTCAGCTTGGGTCGCTGTGAGTCCAAAGTAAAGTCTGTCTGGCTTATGAATTTAGAATGATCTGGCTTTCAGCAGGTATATGCGTCAAAATTCCCCTATTCTATTGAAGTGTCTGGTGCTGTTCATGCGTATTTGTCTAACTGTTCGTAATATACAAACTGTAAAAGAATGAAAAAAGCTAGATACACTAGCCAGATTTTCCTTTTTAATACGCTTTTATTAGTTCCCTACGTATCTTAGTATCTATGTTAGTATGTAACGTAATCTTTGAACATGATTTTGACCCCTTTAAAATGTCGTATTAACTCGAAATTTCGCATACCTATCAAGGACCGATGACAATTCAATATTTTAAACAGTCAGGCCCTTTATTTACTTTCGGCAGTTATAACAACAAATTCTTTTAAGCGCCTTCTTTTTTCACTTAGCAAATTATAGTTAGAAACTATAGTATTTGCCTGAATGTACATTAATGAACAGTTTATGATACATAATGCTAATTTAACTAAAAAAATAAAAATAAATAATAGTTTAAAAAAAAAAAAGACAAGCTTTTATAGAAAATCCAATAAAAAACAGAAAAAAAAATTATTGTAAAAAAAGCGTGCTTTTTAAGATACTACGAGTATTAAAATGATAAGATCTAGGTACTCATATCTGTAAAATATTTAAACTATTGACACCGCGCACCTCAGGTTTTTTTTACAATTAATTTTTTTATTTATTTTTTAGTTGGATTTTCTATAAAAAAATGTTTTTAAGTTTTTCTTTTTAAACTAGAATTTATTGTCAGCTTAATCGACTGCACTATTCAACATAGTGCAGAAAACTGAGACATCACACGATCTCCGTCAGAATCAAAGTTTTTTATTATGAAAAAAGCATTTTCAATCAAAAAGTTTTATTTCATTCTTTCATGACTTTACTCGTCGAGCCCTTCGTCGCAAGCGACAGGTTCGGCCAAGACGATGACCGGTGCTTGAAGTACCTAAAAGTACCGTTAATGGTTCGGGAGGATCCGTAATGACGTGCTTAGGGCAATGTCGATTGTTTACCATTCGGTCCACAGGATCGGATATGACACTTCTTCATAATCTTGATAGAAGGTAGACGAAGTATGAAATCGGACCTAGGATAGGTAATTTTTATTCTCTAATTTAAAAAAATAAAACGCTTTTTTTTTCAGAAGAAAAACTAATTACCTGCTAAACTCGAATTCCAACTACATAATTGGAACAGTATTCGCTATTTTAAGGTACGTAGTATCCCGGACTTGCTCATTAGGGGCACGCAATTAAAACTTGTAGTTGGGCAAGTCTCACACTGGGGATTACTGCCAATGCGAAACAGTTGGAAAATCGAGATCAATCTCGGAATTATGCAGTTCCGAATATTGTCTACGAAGTTCTGACTTCGGCGGATCTCGAGTCTCAATGAAATATTATTTGAGTCATTACTCATTTACGTAGTTTAATAATATTAATTAATACAAAGTTGTAATCTCTATATATAAAAATGAATTTCTGTTCGTTAGTCTCGCTAAAACTCGAAAACGGCTGAAGCGATTTGGCTAATTTTGGTCTTGAATTATTTGTGGAAGTCCAGAGAAGGTTTAAAAGGTAGATAAATATGAAAATGCTCGGATTTAAATAAAAATAACAATTTTGTTTTTCCTTTGATGTGTCCCCCGTCGGTCTTTTATTTATCGATTGAGGCACTACGAAGTCAGCTAGTTTTATATATATTTTTTTCATTTTCTCTTTAGTTAATTTCTCACTATTGACTTTATTTCGATTTTCATATGTTTAGAGCCTGTTCCTTACCTTAGCTTACCTTAATCGAACTAAAGTTAAAATATTTTGAAAAAAAGTAGAAAATTCGTCAAAATTTAATTAATCAATAAATTTAATTTACATTCATCATGTCTTTAGCTCAATTTCCCTGGTAAAACGCCATGTTGCGATACGCAATGGATCTTTTCGGTTTGAATTAATCAATTATAGTCGACTTGGGGAAGCAATCTCTGGATGTAGACTAATTATAACAGATTACATTAATCTCTGACGATGTAGCGGAACCGACTTCAGGTGAGACTACGTTGAAGGCGGAGAGCGATTAGCGTGTCATCGATAAAAAATAGATCAAAATCGTCGGAAAACACAAATTATATGTACACCTCAATCGTTTCAAAAATGTTTATATTAAAAGCGAATAGGCATGTCATCTGAAGCTTCCATTACTAATTTTATCAAAAATCGTTGTTATTTTTCTTTTTAGCTTAAAAATCTATATACTTTTTCTTTCATTTGTTCATTATTAGAAAAGGCACTATTGTTAAGCATTTTATCAGCATCTTATAAACCTTATAAATCTTATGTTCGTCTAAGATATACTACATATTGTATTAATTTATTGTAGCATACAATATTTGATTTTAATTTAACATACATAGTATGTATACTTTTATATAGTAACACCAGTGTTACAATCTGCTATCCCACTAGTTTCGGTTGCTATTGTGAGAAAGCAAGAGAGGTTAGTCTCTATGCACAGGATTTTCAGATAACTGTAACATGGTTTTGAGTCCAATTTTTAAATTTAATATTACTCTGAATTGTCTTTTCGGGTGCTAATATTTTCTTAACATTTCTTGTAACACCATTCCCGAAAAAGGTTGACAAAGTCCGAAGTCCATCGTAAAACTAATAAAATTAAGTATTACAGGATGGTATGTTGTGCAGACTTCGCCTAGTGGAGCAAAAACAGGAGAAGAAGGAGATTTCTCGTTATTTGTAGGTTTGTTAGTGAATATCACAATCGCCTCGTTAGCCAAGTAGTTATGAAGCTATAACATGAGGTCGAGTTTGATTCTCTGTCGAATCTCACTGTGAAATATGGTTTGAGTGGTTTCTTATTAAAATATTTTTGGTGGTGCACTGTTTAAAGAAATGCACATTCTTTACAAAGCCAGCTAGCTGCCTTTGTTTGACTCCAAGGGACTTTAGTTCTCTCCCTATTTTGTACCGTATATCTTTAAGGACCCATAAAAACTGAAATTGGTTGAGATCGTGTCTCTTCTATTTTAGCACCGCTCTACTTGTCACTGAAATATAACTCATCTATGCTATCTGACAATCGCGTTTATCAACAATTCTTTTTCAAAAATCGTTTTTCATGCACTACATAACTGGAGTTACATATCGTTTTACAAACTAGATTTGAAATAAGTCTAAGCTATGTTTTATATGTTCTGCTTTGCCGATGTCTGTGAGAATTCGTGGCCAAACACCGTGTGTTTTACTTTTCATAAAACACAAATAGATGTTTAGTTCGTAATGTAATTTAGTAACGTGTTTTTAAAAAAAATTCAAATCGCTTCAGGCTGTCAATATTGTTAATTTCAAAGTTTGGCAGATAAGCGTACCTTCTAAGATTACCTCGTATTACTGGGCTTCTCAGCTACATGACTATTCCATTTATGTTTGCAGGGGTTCCGCGTTCGATACTAATTTTGGAAACGTCAGACTCCATCGAATTTCGTCTATGCACTTCGAATCAACGGAAAGTTTCATTAGCTTTAATATTTAAGAAGCTTTCTGAAAAGCTCTGTGCGAAATTAACGTACTTCGTATGTAATAAGGTATGGGATCAGTTTTGGTGAACTTGCTCATTGATTTATCGTGTTCATAAAATAATTCAGTAGGGAATGTAAATAATTTTCTTTTAGACTTTAATTAACTTGGAGAATATAAGGCCGCAGCCAAGTTATATCCATCAAGCAATTAGTGTTGTTAATGTCGTAGCCGTTTTTGTCCACTTATAAGCGAAGCTACCAAAAAATATGCTAATCTAACATTTGCATGTGACTGGTAAAATCACTGGCCCATTAAAGGCACTCTTTAGTCTGCTTAGTGTAAAAGGATAGAGTAGGTAAAATACTGTTAACAAGGGACGTTGAGGTGCCATTAAAGGTCTTAGGGCTTCCTTGCTTTCTCCGTCGTTTGTCATGCAAATAGAGAGTGAATAATTTATAGACGATTCACCCTCACCGCACTACGTCGGACCGTGATGTTAGGAAACGGGACCCCTAACTTTTTTGATGAAATTTTATAAAATACAACTACCTCGTATTAAATTAAGAACCGAACATTAACCAACTGACAATGTTGATCTTAATATTTTATTTATCTATTTACTGCAAAAGCTTCATTTCGCTTTGGATTACATTTAAAAGTGCATTTTATATGTATAAAAGTTTTTATAAAACACATTTTCAATTTACCAGAAGCTTGTAAGCAAATTTGCATGTAATCTGTGCTGTGCCGGTGTTCGAAGCCCGTGGGCCAGTATCGATTTTTCTGATGAAATACGTACTTAAGACATTTTCACGAAAGGCGGACCGTCAAGGCGATCCGCCTGGTACTGACTGGGTGAATTGCGACCGAGGACGTCTCATCTTCCGGGTGACGCAGATGCTCACGGAACACGGCTGTTTCTGCCGCTATCTGCACCACGCCGCCCGGAGGGAGCCGACGCCGAAGTGGCACCACTGCAGTGGCTGCAACGAGAACACGGCGAAGCACAAGCTCGCGTACTGCCCCGCTTTCGCGGAGCAGCGTCGCGTCCTCGTTGCAAAAATAGGACCGGACTTGTCGCTTCTGACTCTCGTGGCTACGATGCTCGGCAGTGATGAGTTCTGGTAGGTGATGCTTGACTTCTGCGAGTCCACCATTTCGCAGAAAGAGGCGTCGGAATGGGAGAGGGAGAGCTCTTCTTTCCTCTCGGCGCCGTGCCGCCGCTGTCGAGCCGGGGGTCGGAAGAGGGCGTCCGTTCAGCTACGGCCCCTGTGAGGAAATAGCCTCCTTCAATGATGTTCACGGGGCGACCTGAGGCTGTTGACGCTGCGCCGCACGCTACCGTCACTCTAGCGCGCTGGCACCAGAAGGACGGGACAACACGTCAGCGGCTGCGGCCTGCGTAGCGATCCGTGTTGTCGTCGTCGCTGTCATCGCCAAACATAGGTACTGTGGAAGAGCAACCCGGTCGGTGGTGGATGGCGTTCCGACCCGGGAGGCTGTTCTGGCCCAGCGGGGTATCCCGGTAGAGAGAGAGAGAGAGAGAGAGAGAGTATTCTTTATTGTACACAAAAAAAAACAAATAAACAGTGCGATACATTAAAAACAAAAAGTACAATTGGCGGTCTTATCGCTAAAAGCGATCTCTTCCAGACAACCATCAGGTGGACAAGAATCATTTGGAAACGAACTACGCGCGGTGTACCATTCCAGTGAAATACATATACATATATGTACACATACATATACACATACATATCTCCGTAAATANATAGAACAGTATAGAGCAAAGAAAGAATATGAGCATTCCGACGAAGGCGAATTGGCAGCCACTTGAGCTTAGCGCGAAATTCTGAGACGTGATCATATTTTCGTAAGCCAAATATAAATCTTAAACAGAAATTTTGAAGACGCTCTAGTTTATTTAATTGTGCTTCAGTGAGATCGAGATAGCTAACATCAGCATAATCAAGGATGGGGTCGGTCGTCGACTATCGTCTCGATGACCTGTCGGTCGGGTGACGCCGCGAGTCTGGTTGTAGTGTTGACCGCGAGAACCCCCCTACTCTGATCGGGTGCTGACCCCGGACGGAGATCGGACGTCGGGTGTAAGAGTGCAAATCGTTTAGTACGGTAGGGCCTTACACTAGTTGGGCTTGCGGTCTGCTCCCAACATCTGCAAATCGTCAAGTGAAGGAATAACATTATGTAATAAAAAATCATACCTGCGACATTTATAATCAGGGAAATTACTGGTGGTGGTAGGTCATGTAGTTATTCCGTACCGGTAGGTACCACTACCCTTTTGTTTCTGGCGTGAAGCAGTAATGCGTTTCGGTTTGATGGGTGCCGTTGTACTGTAAAAATTGAGGCTCAGAACCGAGTCTGAAGGTGGGTGGCGAAATTTACGTTGTACATTAATACGGGTTACGGTGACTACTTAACATTGAATGGGCCATGAGCATGGCAATAAAAAATATACAGCGGAGGTCTAATATGTATCGAGGCTTAAATTCGTAAATTTTTAAATTGAATGCTTATAAATAAATGTACTAGAGTCAACATTAAAACATCAGTAAGATTGAACATACAACACTGAACAAAATAAATGAAAAAATGAATAAAATAAACTTGGAATTAATACTAATTATAATTACAAATTTATGTGGCCACTATTACAAGGTGTTTTTAGGAAATGAAATTAGATATGATTGCTTTGTGTAAGATTGCCTACAACTCAATGTAATAATTTATATTCAAACGAACATTGCTTTAATATTTTAAAAGGAGTTGCAAGGGCTTTATGTCAGATAATAATATGAAAACAAGAATGTAAGATACTAGCGTATTATTCAATATTTAATTACATAATAAAGTAAATAGCAAAAACAAGAGACAAGAAAACAAGAGAGAGAGAGAGAGAGAGATAGAGGAAAACTTGAAATAACATTTTAAATTACAACTTTTAAGCCCGTCATCAAATAGACGCAATTTTAGTTTAACAATTCAAACAACTTACCTCCAAATAAAAATCCATCGCCTAACTTATTTCATTAGCTTATTTCCAAGATTTGTTAAAACAAGTACTTCCTATAAAAATGGACTGCACTGCACGAACTGTTTAACCTAGCCACGGCCCTAGAAAAAGTTCAGCTGTTTCTGTAGCAAATTTGCTTTGCGTGACATTCTGCACATTTTTAAATGCATTCAACTTAATTTTGCGGCTGCGTTTTTAGTGGTTGTTGCTTTTTATTATAATGCTAATGCTGGTAATAAAATGGGTTTTTTATCATGGAAACTTAAAAGGTTTCTATTTTATTTTTAAATCTGAATATACTGCTATCATTTCGTAAATCTAATCGCCGTGAGGTTTAGTAGCCTTGACTATTGCAATACCTTCTGGCATTAAAATATAGTACCAGAATAAATCCCACATTTAAAAAAAAAGTCGTGACTTATAAGCTAGTATGAAATAAAGTGGGCGAAAGGGCAAGTAATAATAAACATTTTAATGAAAAACAACTTCACATTGACTTTAATATCTTCATAGTGAAATGTGAGAAAAATAATCTAAATATACAAAAAAGCTAATCTGGAACTCCCTAGCAGTGCATTTTATCTTATCATTTAACAAACTTATCATTTATGTTACTAGCACGATAAATAGTTTACTGAATATGTAATACTTAAAACTTATCCAAACAGAAAACAATAATTCAAAAGCTAATATTGATATGAAATAATTCAAAGAAAATTAAAACCTATGAAGGAGACATAGCAATGAAAATTGAATTGAATATAGATTGACAGACGAATCACGAAATAGATAAGAACGCACACATAGAAAAGCATGACGTGCGAAGGAACAGATGTGAAGTTAGCAGCAGTAATATTTAGTTTAGCCTGTGAAGATCGTGAATTTGTTGTTGTCATTGGGTCAGTGGCGAGGTTATCGAAGTGTTTTGTTAAAATTTGTTAGTGTAAGGTCGAAAAAAGTGAGGCATAAAGTATTCTGATGTAAAAAGTAGTTAGTTGACTTATAAGTAATATTTCATTTACGAGTGAAATTCGTTGAAGAGAAATTGATAATTAAATGCTATTTGTCGAGGAATAATTTATAATTAAAGGGAAGAAACATTGTATATGTGTAATAATGGTGTCGTTAACTTCTAAATATATACTTTCAACGATATATAAATCAAATAGCATTAGGGCATTATCTACAACATATTCAAGAAATGCGAAAGTGACTTTCGATTGGGTGGACCCATTCAATTTAGATGGACAACTCCATGACGACGAAAAAGCAGTGCGAGATTCATTCAGGGCCTACTGTAATGAAAAGTTATTACCTCGTGTAGTTGAGGCAAATAGGAATGAGGTGTTCCACAGAGAAATCTATAATGAACTCGGTGAATTAGGCGCTCTGGGTTGTACCATTAAAGGTTACGGATGCGCTGGAGTTTCTTACGTTACGTATGGTCTCATTACAAGAGAACTAGATGGCGTTGACTCCTCTTATAGATCAGCGATGAGTGTGCAGAGTAGTTTGGCAATGGGTTCGATTTATATGTACGGAACTGAAGACCAGAAACAGAAATACTTACCACGCATGGCTACAGGTGAATTAATTGGTTGTTTTGGGTTAACGGAACCCAATTTCGGAAGTGATGCTGGAGGATTAGTTACCAGAGCGAAACACGATGCAAAAAATAAATGTTACGTTTTATCAGGATCAAAAACTTGGATAACCAATGCACCAATCGCTGACATTATTATCGTTTGGGCAAAAGACGACGCAGGTAAAGTACGCGGTTTTATAGTCGAACGAGCCGAGGTAAAGAAAGGTTTAGATACGCCCAAAATCAATGGGAAATTTTCTTTGCGGGCATCGACAACCGGAATGATATTGCTCGACGAAGTGGTTATACCGGAGGAGAATTTATTGCCGAATGTAGTGGGCCTGAAGGGGCCGTTCGGATGTCTCAATAACGCGCGATACGGTATCGCCTGGGGCGCTCTCGGATCCGCAGAGACGTGTTTGCAAATAGCCCGGCAGTACACATTAGATAGGAAACAATTCGGGCGGCCTTTAGCTTCGAATCAACTTGTACAGAAGAAGCTGGCTGATATGCTGACGGAAATAAATATTGGCTACCAGGCCTGTTTGCGTGTTGGACGTTTGAAAGACGAAGATAAAGCAGCTCCAGAGATGATATCCTTAATTAAGAGAAATAGTTGCGGTAAAGCATTAGAGATTGCCAGAGTAGCAAGAGACATGCTTGGAGGTAATGGGATTTCTGACGAGTATCACATCATACGGCATGTTATGAATTTAGAAGCAGTCAACACTTATGAAGGAACGCACGATATTCATGCGCTTATATTAGGAAGGGCTATTACTGGATTACAAGCCTTTTCTTAAAAATATCAAATAAAAGCTTTTTGTTATGTTGTTATTTTTTTATCAAATTTGTATATTTAACTATTTATGAAAAAGATACGTTGATAAATAAATTGTTTATTATTTTTTACCTCACAATGCTTATTAAAAGAAATACGACAGTTGCTTTGTTGAATATTTAAGTGTAATAAGTAGTTTAAATTGAGCTAGTTAATATGTATTTTTCTTTAAAGTTCGAAAATTTACAAATTTTACCTTAAAAAGATAACAGGATAATTGAAAACAGATAGAAACTATTAAAAAAATTAAGCAACGTTTGAGAATATTCAAAAAATAGAATGGAACTGCAAAAAGAATTGGAGGCGCCGGGTATCGATCCCGGTACCTCTCGCATGCTAAGCGAGCGCTCTACCATCTGAGCTACGCCCCCCATGTGCAATCGGTCAAAATTTGTATTTATAAAGCACTATTGTAATTTACCGCTGTATCCTTGATACGTGTGTAACGTGTATTAAGCTGCTTTCAGACTACGCTATACTATAGTGCCATATAGTATAGCAGCCTATACTTAGCCAATAATATATAGTACAGTCCCCGGTCATCGTCCTTGTCGAACCCGTCGCTCGCGACGAAGGGCTCGACGAGTGAATTAACTCATAGACACAGCCCACTGAGTTTCTCGCCGGATCTTCTCAGTGGGTCGCGTTTCCGATCCGGAGGTAGATTCTGCGAAGCACTGCTCTTGCTAGGGTTAGTGTTAGCAACACTCCCGGTTAGAGCCCCGTGAGCTCACCTACATGTTAGGGTGAAGCTGATATAGCCTCTCAAGGCTATCGGCATAGGTAGGAAAAAAAATTTAGCACAGTACAGTGTGAACGTGTCTATAACAAGGTATGGTGTGCGATATTGTTGTGCTATACCTACTTATATACTATATGTTATATACTTTAAGCTATTATTTTATATTGTACCATAGTCTGAAAGCGGCTTTATTGTAACTAAGTAATATGTAAATATGACTAACATAATTTGCTCAGCGCTCAAACAGTAAATAAAAAACTAAGAATAATTTATTTCCAAGAAAGTTTCGATTTACATTTTCTCAGTCGTGTCTGCATTAAGGGTTGCTTGTATCGCAGCCAACATAGTTAAGTCTTACCTACCGTTCTGTGTTCTGATTTGAAACAACTGGGACTTTGACCTGCTTTTGCATTCGGCTCCTGTAACCTCTTAATATCAAAAATACCTTATTATAAAACGAAAATCAGTCCTTAGCTTGTGGAAAATTAAGGCTGGTTGTCACATGTAAACTGAAAAGATGTTCTTACTGCTATGTTAAGGCAAGAGGGTAATTAATGGCGGCCTGGTAGGACCGCGCACCGCGGAGAACCGTCGGTCGGGCGTCCTCGGTGTGGCGCTGCGTGTCTGGTTGTAGTTTTGACCGCGGGAATCCCCCTACTCTGACCGAGTTCTGACCCCGGACAGAGATCGGTCGTCAGGTGTAAGAGTGCAGGGGAGTTGCTTAGTGTGGTAGTGGTGGTTAGGCTCTCGTAGGGCGTTCGAACTACGGCCCTAAAAAAAGACAGGGTAATGAATAGAATAATTAATTCAAAGAAACCGGAACTCATTTGTCTATTTAGTAACTGAACATTACAGTACTTACGTGTTCTGTCACCGTAAAAAAATACTGTTCGCATTCTGTGGTAGCGCTTCCGTAGAAGCATTTAATATTTTTACGACTGATGGTTACATCTCCACAATAATCGTACGTCCCGCCGCGCTGTTTATGATAATCTCAAACGAGAACAGAGAGAACTCTTTGAATACAAAATGAGTTTACGCTAAGCGATTCATAAAACACTTATGACTACTTATGTGGCATGTTATATGTTAACATTTCTCGGAATCAAATGCCTTCAGCGTTATTTTGGAAGTGTTATTTTCTTTGTAACGTCTGAATTTTGATATCCACTTTACAATGGTACAATGAAAGCGAAAATTATTTAATGTCAAAAGCCATGTATATTATTATACTAGTGCTAAGAATTCTTGTACGTGTTTGCATTTTAAGAGGCTTGAATAAATATTATTATTATATTCTTGTATTGTGTTCCTCGAAATACTTAAGATATTTCGGTATAATGAAGATCACGGGCCTATGCCAAGTGAGCTTCATTTTCTGCTTGCAGAATATTTAAGTCTTCCTGCATGAATTGACGGACTATACGGCATGTGTTTAATATTGCGGCTTTTTGCATGGTCATGTACGCGTTTTCTGCTATGTCTAATATTTTTAAAGATTGGAGTATTATTATTATTATTATTATTAATGTGTAACATCCAACAATCTCAAGATTGTTTATTGTTAAAAACAAAAGAACATCGAACACTCTACGTATAATGAAATATGTTATAGCTACTATTTATAGGACTTGTCATCATTGGTTGTTTTTAAAAATTGTAATTTAGCATTTAACTCATAACTTTTATAATAATAATAATATAATTCTGAGAATATAAATCTGCAAAATGATGTATTTTGGTCGATGGTCCAAAAGGTGTTAGTTATGGAACCCATGGAAATTATGTGGATAGTTTCACAGTCGACCTTGGAACATGAGGTTGAAATTTCATTTTTGTTACCTAACGGCTGCTCCACTCTTCTTACCGTAATGGATTTTTTTACTAGTGTTAGGTACCACTCTACTCATTTCAATTTTTGTCGTGAAGCAGTAATGCGTTTCGGTTTGAAGTGTGGAGCAGCCATACTATAAAACTGAGACATAGAACTCATGTCTCGAATTGGGTAGCGCAATGTAGTTACACATAAAACACGTAGGTGTTCTAACATTTGTTTACAAAAAAATTATAATAATATATCTTAAATTCTTGTGTCACAATGTTAGTTACCATACTCCTCTAAGGGTTGTTCACCCCTAACATTAATTTTTTATTTTTTGGACAATTTTTTTGTTATAATGAGGCATTATGTGGTTGAATGAAGTTTTGTTATTTTTATATTCTCTCATTGCTCACAGCGCTACATGGTTCTTTCACTCATTTACCACATCCTTACACTGTGTGTACAGCTTTTTTTCTACACTAGAAATTCCCTAGTAATCCTATATATGTCAAAACAAGGTTTGCCGGGTCAGCTATGTAAATTTCGCGATTAATATTATAAAAATAAAAATAAAATGTAATTTTCGCGATTACATTTTTTTTCTAATAAGTATTAAGTAAACAAGCCAGTGTGTTTCTTGCTCATTCTTTTCACGATAAATGTAACATAAATAATAGGGCGTAAACCATACAACCGCTTGCCCTTATAGGTACTGCGGTTCAGAGTGAAACTGAGCCACAGCATAATCGGGCAACCAACCGAACCATATATTATACAATTTAGCATAGACTGTAGATTACTATTTAATAAAATTCATGTTAATATAAAGAACACTAGCGTGTTTATTTTCCAAACTGTATATTATTTTCATAGACAGATTCATCCTCATTTGGTTTTGAAACAATTATGGTTTTCTGACCGCCGCCGCCGAGCAGGGGGTCGGGACCGGGGTCGTATCCGTGACCTGGCCCCCTAAGAGCTAGGGGTCCCACCCGTTTTGTGCGGGGAGAGACCAAGCCGTGGGTTGGCGTGCTTTGCACGCTCACCCGCAGTAGAAAGCCGGGTGATGGTAGACCGCGTTCCCCCGACCGCTCTGGGGGAAGATGTAACGCGGCGCCATCAAGGCGGGCTCTCCGCCCGCTGAACGAGGGAACCGGTGGTCGTGTCGCTGGCGGCCGCCGGTTCGGCGTCCGTGGGATGGTGGGATGGATGTAATGTGCTCTGCGTCAACCCTGTCCCGCCGTCTCAATAGCCCCGACTGGGCTCCGGCTCGGTCCGGTTGTGAGCGGCAGGACTTTTTAGTGAGGTTCAACTCCCACATACCCTACCTGCCGCGCGGGTGGGGATCCGGCGATTTTCTCCTGTGGAAAAAAATAATAATAAAAAAATGGTTTTCTGAGACCCTCTGTTCATGTTCAATGAACTCAACTTTAAAATACATGCTTAGATTATTTTATCTATAAGCTGAATTCATTTTTTAAACTAACGTTAACTTTCGTTTGTAATTAGATACGAATAATGAATGTTTAGTACGTTTATTTTCATTTTGAATCTTATTTTACACAACCAGTCACGAAAATAATGATACATCGTATTCATTTTTCTTCGGCGGCACAATTAAGCGCTGTTAGAATGTTTCATAGGATTTGCAAACGGAGACGTGATATCGTCGCGTCTCAGGATATTTATTTTAATAAGACGATAAGAGAATAGGTGGAATAGGGTGCACGTATTTATTCGACAAACGGTTAATGTGGATATTCCTTTGAGCAATTGGTTGATTTATTTTTATCATTTATTTGTATGTTCATGATATGTACAGCGAAAATTTGTAATACATTCATGTGTCAACAAATATATTATTTTAATTAATTAACTTATGACATTATTTGTACAACTTTTCTACGGGTGTCAAAAAGAACCACAGTTTCAATTTAATCAGTTGAATAACCACAATATAAAAACTCAAAGAGGGCTAATGAAGGTATGAAGCAAAATTAATTTTGTATATTGAAGTAGACCACAATGAATATAATATCGACATTTTGTTTTGACAAATTAAACTTCAAATATGCGAATAATGTTGCTACGGAAAATAAGTAGGTATATTACGCATGTAAGCTTATGATGGATGGTTAAAAATTTAAATTCCAGTTGAAGCCATGTAAACTCCTTATGAAATAGAAGAGTTTTAACGAACAGCTTTTTGGAACGAAGTTCCTTACGGCAGGCTTGGAGGAGATATGGATTTAGCTGCGCGACCGAACTGAAAAAAATGTGATAGTAAAACGTAAGAAAAAGTCCGTGGAATAAAACCGTTAAATGAGAAGTGCGCAGGCGCGACAGTCGTATACACAAGCGAGTAGTGTATAATACCTCTCTTTCTCCTTCTTTCTTTTCGTTCTCTCATCCCTTCTCTCTCTATTTTGTAATTATTTCTATTTCTATGTAATTTTATGTTGTCAAA